GTACCCATAGGAGTTTAGACAGACAGAAAATGATGCTCAAATTATAAAGACTACAACTCACTCTCAAGTGCTCACCCCTGTCCTAATCACTCTCTGAGTCACTTCCTAAAAGAATGTTTCCACATATAATAGGTAGTAAAAAATTTCTCTATTACAACTTAAAATAATAACTGATGCAAAATGTGCTGTAAGAGGAAAGATGAGCATTAAAGATTGTTGAAGAATGCACAAGAGAAACATGGATAGCATAAAAGTAAGATGTAAAAAATCATGAAATAAATATAAGGCAATTGGGCTAGAGAGAGAGAGAGAATTCAGTGAATGAACAAGCTGCTATGCAAGAATGAAGACCTAGGTTTTGTCTCCAGAATCTATGTGAAATTCAGGAATAGAAAGAATCAAGTACCTGTAATCACAACACTGGAGAGGTAGAGGAAGGAGATTATTGGGACCCACTGGCTAGTAAATCTAGCCAAATTATTGCACTGATTATTTAGCAAGAGACTCTGTCTCAAAAAGTAAGTTATATAAGTGATTGAAGAAGATACCACAAAAACAAAGGTGAATGGAGAGTGTTGAAAATGAGCAAAGACATAGAAGATAGGCTTGAGGAAAATGGCAATGAAATTAAATGAAAAATAATGGAGTTAAAAATTATTATAGAAGAAATGGTATATATAGAAGACAACAGAAATCTCTATGGTATATATAATTGGTACTTCTAGGAAGAGAACATATACAAATCTGTGTTATCAATAAAGATTTCTTTATATATTAAAAGCCAAAAATCTACAACTTTTAAAAGAAACTGTTCATTTTGTATACATCTATTTTGCTGATTTTTTTTATTAGAGGTAGGAATTTTATGATGAAAACCTTCAGGGACTTTTATATATAAAACTGTATCATCTGCAAATAAAGATACTTTGACTTGCCTATTTTCCTTTCCTATTTTTCCTTTGATGTTTCTTATTTGTATTATTGATCTAGCTAAGACTTCAGGTATTATGTTGAACAGGAGTATGGAAAATGGACATTCTTGTTTTGTTTTTGTGAAAATTATTTCATGTTTTTTTCCAATTATGATGATGTAGTGTGGAGGCTTCCTGTATATGATCTATACTGCATTGAGATATGCCTCCTATATCCCTAGTCTTTTAAGGACTTTTAACATGGAGGATGCTGGATTTGTGTCAAAAGCTTTTTCTGAGTCAAATGATATATAATCATGTCATTTCTATAGTTTAGTTAGGATTATATTTTGTGATTTACATATGTTGAACCATCCCTGCATTTCTGGGATAAAGATTACCTGAACATGGTAGATAATCTTTTTTGAAATTATTTTAATTAGGTGTATAAGGAGTTTATTGAGATTTTATTTGCATCAATGCCTACATCTGAGGCATTGGTCTATCATTTTGGTCTATAGTTTTCTTTTTTGGGATTGGACCTTTATTTTGTTTTGTGTATTAGGGTAATAGTAGCTTCATAAAGGAAGTTTAGAAATGTCCCTTCCTTTCCTATTTTGCAGAAAATCACACATCTGAGATTATTGGGACAATACAAATTGATCTTTAAAGGTCTAAACACACAGACACACACACACACACACACACACACACAAACACAAAATGTTGGGTGGATGAGTAAGGGCAAATGGATTTGGGAACTAGGGAAGGGGAATGAATGTTATCAAAATAGATTGCATGAAACTCTCAGAGAACTAACAAAATCCACCATAAGGCTATCCAGTGGCCTTCACAAATGAAAAGTATATTTACATGGATATCTATACCATAAAACCAAATGTTTAATGATATGAGAAATTTCCAGGTAAGCTCTATTTCTAGATAACACCATTCAGTGTAATGCTAAGAATAACAAGTGATTCCTATAACATCTTTGAGAGGGGGGGGGAGAGAGAGAATATGAACTACAAACTTAAACAAAAGTATAGTTCAATACAAAGACATGTGATGGATATCATGCATATGCAAGAAAGTAGGAAATATGGTACCAATAAGATCTTAAAAAATCTTCTATACAACAACCTTACGATAACTAAAATATTAGTGGAAAATAGGTATATTGACTTCTGAGAAAATAACACATTTAAATGTAAAAATATAGCTAAATATCAACAGGAATTATAGCTTCATAAAATAATGTAAATGTTATAAAACTTGACAAGGCCTCACTATCACTAATACAAAGTTGAGCAACGAAAAGAAGAGTGAGAAGTAGGTTAGGTACATGGAATTTCTTATGTTTTGTGGATGAGGTCATCATTCTTGGATCATAACTGACAAGTCAAGATGTAGAAGGGTCAATCTATGGCAAGGATCAAAACATAACAACTAGAGAAAGTACAATAAAAATTGAACAAAAATCCTAAAGGAGAGTAGATGAAAGAAATTAGAGACAGTTTTATTGCATTTACACTAAAGTTCTGTTTTAGGTAAGCAATTACAGTCAATTTCAAAGATTGCTAATTCAACATTTTATTTTATGAAATACACCTTTTACCCCAGCTTGAAAAGGCTTCAGTACCATTTTTCTTATCTATGATTCTTTTAAGAATAATTATTGGATTGTATTTATAGTACTTTTTTGTATGCTACAATGTACATTATGGTCGTTTGTATAGGAATGGTTCACATAGTTTGTGTTTGAGTACTTGGTCCATAGGGATTTCTACTAGCAGGAGGTGTGACCTTATTGAAGTAGATGTGGCTTTATTGCAGAAAGTGTTTTACTAGGGGTAAGCTTTGAGATTTTAGAAGTTCAAGCCCAAGACCAAAATTTCAGGTGACAGCAGATGCTGGCAAGGATGTGGAGAAAGAGGAACACTCCTCCATTGTTGGTGGGACTGCAATCTGGTACAACCACTCTGGAAATAAGTCTGTCAGTTCCTCAGAAAATTGGACATATTACCTGAGGACTCAGCTATACCACTCTTGAGCATATACCCATGCTCCACTATGTTCATACCAGCCTTATTTATAATAGCCAGAAGCTAGAAAGGACCCAGATGTCCTTCAACAGAGGAATGGATACAAAAAATGTGGTACATTTACACAATGGAGTATTACTCAGTGATTAAAAACAATGAATTCATGAAATTCTTAGGCAAATGGGTGGAACTAGAAAATATTATTCTGAGTGAGGTAACCCAATCACAAAAGAACACACATGGTATGCACTCACGGATAAGTGGATATTTGCCCAAAAGCTTGCAATACCCAAGATACAATTCACAGACCACATGAAGCTCATGAAGAAGGAAGACCAAACTGTGGATACTTCGGTCCTTCTTAGAAGGGGGAACAAAATGCTCACAGGAGGAAGTATGGAGACAAAGTGTGGAGCAGAGACTGAAGGAAAGGCCATCCAGAGACTGCCCCACCTGGGGATCCATCCCATATACAGTCACCAAATCCAGACACAATTGTTGATGTCAAGAAGTGCTTGCTGACAGGAGCCTGATATAGCTGTCTCCTGAGAGGCTTGATCAGAGCCTGACAAATACAGAGGAGTATGTGTGCAGCCAACCATTGGACTGAGCACAGGGTCCCCTATGTGGTTCCCAATGGAGGAATTAGATAAAGGACTGAGGGAGTTGAAGGGGTTTGCAACCCCATAGGAAGAACAATCAACCAACCAGACCGTCCAGAGCTCCTAGGGACTAAACCACCAACCAAGGAGTACACATGGAAAGACCCATGACTCTAGCTACATATGTAGCAGAGGATGGCACTGTCAGGCATCAATGAGAAGAGAGGCCCTTGGTCCTGTGAAGACCTGATGCCCCAGTGTAGAGGAATGCCAGGGTGGGGATGCAGGATTAGGTGGGTGGGGGAACAGCCTCATAGAATCAAGGGTAGAAGGGATGGGATAGGGGGTTTCGGGGTGGGGGTTCCAGGAAAGGGATAACATTTGAAATGTAAATAAAGAAAATATCCAATAAAAAATATAAAGAAAGAAGCTCAAGCCAGTTTACCTCCTCCCGCATACAGATGTAGATGTAGAACACTTAGCTACTTCTCACAGCACCACATCTGCCTACATGATGCCATGCCTCCCACTAAGAATATCATGGACTGAACCTCTGAACTGTAAGTCAGCCCCAATTAAATGTTTTCCTTTATAAGTGTTACTGTGGTTATGGTGTCTCTTTACAGCAATAAAACACCAACTAAGGCATACATTTAAATCTAGATACCTCAACTCATTCAAACTATTGAGTGATGATATACTTTATCTCATTCATGATTAATTCCTGTTGATCCATCGTTTTTATCTTGTCTCTGTCCTTTATCTACCTATTTAGCCAACATTTCTTCAGCTTTCACTCTTCTTCAGATAAGCTATAATATTTAAGATGTGTATGCACTAGTAAGGATGCAAATGAATAACTTTAATAGAACTAAATTATTTTAATATCAGATTATTCATATACAGAAAAGTCAAATCAGTCTTCATGATTCCTGAAAGGCTCTATAGAGAAAGTAATGTTTTAGTTGGGTTTGGAAAAACGAGTAGGTCTTTACCAGGATATGAGGGGTAGGGAGTGTACTTTAGGTAGAAAATACAAAATACACAAAGTCTTGGAAGGAACGATGAGCACTTTAGTTTTACTAGAATGTGAACTTTCTGGAGAATGAGGAGTAGAAGTGGTCTTAGAGACTGTGCTGTGGATGTAGATAAGACTCCAAGTTTCCAGGTACCAATGGGTTTCTCCAGAGTACAGCAGCATTTCATTTATATTTGAGTCAACACCTGAAGACATAAGCCTTACATGTTATTAGCTGTCTTTTAATTGTTCCTAGTTGAAGTTCAGATTATCAAGAAAGCATTCCAGTTGAGAATTGGATTGATGACCCCAGTGAATAGAGCATAGTCCTGCTGAGTTCCTGCGGGCTACAGGCTGTTCACTTCTGGTCCCAATACAGATCTCTCAGGAAGTGCTTCCCAGTCCTTCCTTTGCTTCCACTCACCTTCATCTCCAGGGCCTCTGGTACCTTCTTGCCTTCCCAAGCCCAACTCCGTTTGGTGAAGTAGTTGACAGTAGCAAATTCAATCAGTGCAGAAAATACAAAGGCATAACAGACGGCTATGAACCAGTCCATGGCCGTCGCATATGCCACTTTAGGTAAAGAGTTTCTGGCACTGATACTCAAGGTGGTCATGGTGAGAACAGTGGTTACACCTGAGGAGAGAAAAGTCAAGAGACAGTTTTAACTGGAAGACACTGGTAGTGTACTTGATGAAGGTCACCAACTTCCTTCTTAAAGGAAGTTTTTCATCTCACTTAGTAAGGGCCCTCAAGTTGTGTTGTCCGTTGAGTAGGCTGCTGTGCATTTTAGTAATAAACTTTTGCTTTTACTTTGCTTCAAGTAATTGCCTGTTTTTAAAGTAAATTGTACATAATATCAAGACTGTATAGATCAACCTGGCAAGTATTTCATTCCAACTGCCGTTAGAATAAGATTCTTCAGTCCACTCTTACTGTCTGCTAGTCTCTGACTAAGCACTCCTGCTGAAGAATAAGTAACCAATTTTTTTATAATAGAGCTTCTAAATTAGAAAGACTTTTGACCTAAATCTATTTCCTCCAATGATTAGCCTACTGATGGATCTCAATGTTCTGTGACCTAACAGGAAGTGAAATTATATTCCCTCATCTCCAGGATAGGCCTGTAGAGACCGAAGAAGAGTCTTTTCATTTCCAGAGTGATGGATATCAGTGATTTCCTCATGTCCTCTTTTTGGTCATCTTTCTGCCAGTCCTGGCAGTTTTCTTTTGACAATCCTGAAACTGAGGCCATTATTCAGAGCATAGGTCTAAGTTTAATCTGGTTTCTATGTCTCCTTTTTATGATATTTTGATAATGCAACAAACTAATATAGAATGTGTTTTTGTCACTGCATCAAGTTCTGGGTTTCTGAGCTTTCTGGGTAATCAGAAATCATCAAAAATCTGTATTTTGTGAGTTTTGCTATAGCTAGAGCTTCTTTGGCTGCCACTTACTTGTTTTATATCTTAGAATTTCTTTAATCTTTCTGTGCCTTCTTTATTCCAATCTGTGAGTATTAGATACCCTGGGAATTTCATATTCACAAAGTCAATCAAATTTGAAGGAGAATTGATCACAATCTCTTTCTAATTGTTGTAAAATTGAAGAGGATGGAAAATATGTACATGAGTCAAGTAGGGCACAGAATGAAGAGACACTACAGAGTAAGGCAACCAGAAGAATCACTAAGTATAATAACTTTACTGAGAGAGTAAGGCATGTGAGCAACCACCCCGGTGCCTCTTCTCTTGTCTTGCCCCCTTTGAATACTTCCTTGCACATTTTCTGTATACATGAAAATCTAGACTGTTAAAGAATTTTCAACAAAGACCCCAAAGGTACACTTTAGCACAAACAAAGCATCAAAGCTGATTAGCAAAAACACATTGTAACCAATGTGAGTGCCAGCTACATTGTTAGTATTTATTATAAACAAAGGACTGATAATACACCTAAACCTTACCAATCCTAATAGTCCAGGGAGTATACAAACAATGTATACTCACAATTCATGTATGAAGTTCTCAATTCCTTCTGAAATTTGTACTATTTAACTGACTATTGCTGTAAAACCTTGTCACGTGTATAAAAATAAAAACAGATTCCAAATTTAAAAAGAAAAGGAAATTAAGTGGAGTTTTATGGAAAAAAATAAGCTATCTCATTCATGGCTATGAATAAATGTACAGTCCACATGAGTATATCTACAGCAACTCTACTGCACCATAAATGCTTCTGTGCTTTATCTCAATGGGGAATTTTACTTAGCATTTGGTGCTTAATTAGACCTGTCACCTTATGGAGAGCTCTTAGCTGGTCAAACTTGGAGGGGCTCTCAATCAAGCACTGGGTACACTTCCTGGAATATAGAAAGCCCTTCTTCAATGACTAATGCAGAACTGGCTGAACTCCTCGTTTTCTGTGAGTATTTCTAGTATATTTACTTGTTAAAATGTATCTGTTTTATCAAACTGCATGCATAATGAGGGGAATTACCATGACTTCTCAGTCTTGGAACACTCTTTCTCATAGACTCTTTTATTTACCTAAGATCCTCTCCTTGGTCTCTGCCCCCACCCCCAGTTTCATGTCATTACCATATAGTATGTGCTCATTCGTGTCTGGATACAATAATTTAGTACAATAGCTTAGGTTTGTTCTTATTTCATCTATCTTGAGACCAATTTTATTTATTTCAGAGTAAATTCATAGGTTTAGGGTAATCTAATTAGTTTATCTATTCACTTATTAATGGACATTTCAATTTTCAATGTTCAACTCTTATAAAAATGTCTAAACAAATTTCATTAAGTATTTATATAGGCATGTTTTTACTTCTCTTCATAAATACATAGGAATAACACTGGAAGATTATATTATATGAATACATATATGTTTATATGACATTGACAGGCTTATTAAAGTAGTTGGACATTTAACATTCTCAGAAGATATAGATACTTTTTAGTCAACATGCAACCTTTATTTATGAAATTTTAATGCTAATTGATATTTTTTCTTTGATAATGAAAGTATATAAACTATTGTCTATTTTTCCTCATCAACTTACATGGGTTATAGTAGATCATAGTATTTTCCTTATAAGTCACTGCTATTATTTGCATATTTAATACACAGTCACCATGACTCATTTCTTTATTATTTTCATTAATAATGTCAGCCTTCCTTCTAGGATAATTTTCCTTTCATTGGGTAAAGAGCCATCAGTATGTCATCTAGGGAAAGTGTAATGATAACAATCTCAAGTTTGCATTCTTTCACCAGCTTTCTTTGGAATTGTAACTTTACATCCTTCTTGATATAGGGCCAGTTTTAGCTATTATCTCTTTCAAATTGGTGAAACCATTCTTTTCCTTCTCTCATTCTTCTGTGCTATACCTACTCAGTGAATCTCATGATGACTCTGTCTGTGCATTTCATATTATTGCTGTTTCATGTATTTTATTTTGTTCTATCTTTCAAATTATGGGGTAATATAACAATGTTCAAAGAAATGAATGTTCATTTGTATTTTTAAATTCTATGATAACCAATATGCTTTCACTCCTGAATTTTCTCCATTGCATTCATTTATTTATGAATATTTGAAAGTTTCTGTCTGATTATTTCAACATCTATCGTCCTACATGTTTGTATTTTAAATTGTGGTATAATTCATATGCAATAAGATGAAAATATCTTGCACATTTGATCTCGTTGGGAAAATGAATACAATTGTATCTATATATGACTAGTCATTGATACATTTTTGTGAATGAAACATATATACATTCTTGTAGAAGTGTTATTATTTAATGAACTTTATTTACACTACTCAATTCAGTTGGTTATATATGTAAGAGAAGAATATCCAGATTAGGAAGGTTACGTAAAGTTCTTTTTTTATTGGATATTTCACTTATTTACATTTCTGTAAAATTCTGATAACATTTAAGTACCTATTCCAAAAGATACATAGCACATCATTTTTATGTTTTATTCTAAGACATATGGAATTTTTATATTTAAGTCCATGAATAATTTCAAGTAATTCTCTCCAATAATATCTTTGTGGTAAATCAAATTTCTATAAACAAGGGATTACTTACAAGCACACTCTAGTGTTTGGTTTACTTTTACTTACTTTTCTTTATGCCAATACAAGGCTGCTTTGATGACTGTTGCATTTTAATCATCTTGATATCCTATGGGGCTTGTCTCGATTTTGGCTATTCTTAGCTCTTTGTTCTTACTTTTAAAATTAACTTTTCAACTTGGAGGTTTTCATATTACTGCAGTTACTGTAAATAAGTTCTGAATTAGTATGAGTCCAAGTTTAAGCTATTAAAAGAATGAATTCTCAAGGAAACATGTATTTTACACATACAACTGGCAAAATGAAAATGTTTTCACATAATCTCTATATATTTTGTGTAGTTTTTTAATGTTCTCTTACACTGAAGTCACAGCTCTTCAGTGGTATTGAATTTGTGGGAATGGTTTTTGTCTTAATTTCATATGGTAGATGTAACAAGTTATCATATATCTAATGACTTAAAAGCACCATAAACCTGAGTATATAGATCTAGGCACAATTAACCTGAAATTACATTAACAGTGTTAAGGTCAGTCTTGAACAGGGCCCTAATCTCTCTGAAGTATCTGGTATAATAATCTATTGCCTTTTGCAGCTTTCAAAGCTTCATCAATTGCATTTCTTAGCTAGTGAGACTTTTCCTCTTTCTACAAGACAACAGATCATCTTCCAATCCAGCCTGCTTCCTTTATCACAACACTTATTCTTTAATAGTGAAATACATGACAATGCAGAATAATCTCTCCAGGTGGAAATCTTCAACTGCGTCACATCTAGAGATTCATTTTCATCATATTCAGTCACATTTTCACATCCCAGAGACTTGGAGATGAATTTTTGGAGTATATTATTCAGCATACCATAGCTTAAGTTATAGGCCTTAACATTACTGAAGCTCAGCACCCTCTTTTATATTTTAAAACTCAGATATCTGTTACTAACACCAGTAACCCAACTAAACTGGCTACATTTTATTGAAAATATTTTTTGTACAAAATATTCTGATCATGGGTTTTCCTCTAATAACGGCCATTTTAACTCATACCCATAAACCTCGTTATTCCTCTACTTAAGAAACATCTGAGAATATCACAGTAATAAATAGGGAGCTTCCACCTGGGTTTTACAGAAATTTATCATGGCCCTTCAGTCCACATGATTATTTCTTGCCACTAAATACGTTCCTCTTGAGTTCTATAGTGTTGTACCTTTCTTAGTGTTTTTTATTTTCTCTTTCTTTGCTGCCATCTCCTCCTGTACCTGACCCAATGTGCTACTTCTCTCTGAAACATCATCTACTATTGATGTAATATCATTGTATGGCTTCAAGATATTGGTAGAAATGCCTTTTGTACATGTATCTAGCATATCTGACTGTATGCTTCACAGTCTCTGAATCTGCATTGGTTCAATGGCCTAAAAGAATTAATTTTTGTGCTTCAAAAATTTTGCTGTGGGAAAAAAACAGGCAGAAAATGTTTTGTATGCTTTACATTTCTGAGGAAAAGGGGCTAATTATATACAAACTTCTTCCTAGATATGAGTAACCCCATACTAAAGTAAATTTCTCTGATTCTACTTACTGTTTGAGAAACCATTTAAAGGGTATACAGCCTTTACTGAGTATCAGTGAATTCACACCTTCAAAAGGCTGAAATAGATGCAACAAGTCATTTATATATACACAAAATCATTCCCGAGGGTTGGAGAAATGGCTCATCAATTAAAAGCACTTGTTCCTTTTACAGAAGACCTGGATTTAACTCCCATCGCTAACATGGTAGCTCACAGCCATCAACAGTTCTAGTTCGAGGCAGATTTTATACCCTCGTTTGACTTCACAGGCACCAAGCATGCACACAGTGCACACACACACACAGGCAAAACACTCATACACGTAACATAAACCTTTATATGAAAAATTGTTTCACTATATTAATCTTGCCAATCCATGAGCATGGGAGATCTTTCCATCTTCTGAGATCTTCTTTGATTTCTTTCTTCAGAGACGTGAAGTTCTAGTCATATAGATCTTTCACTTGCTTGGTTAGAGTCACACCAAGAAATTTTATATTATTTGTGACTATTGTGAAGAGTGTCATTTCCCTAATTTCTTTTTCAGCCTGTTTATCTTTCATGTAGAGGAAGGATACTGATTTGTTTGAGTTGATTTTATAACCACCCACTTTGCTGAAGTTGTTTATCAGGTTTAGGAGTTCTCTGGTGGAAGTTTGGGGATCACTTAAGTATACTATCATATCATCTGCAAATAGTGATATTTTGACTTCTTCCTTTCCTATTTGTATCCCTTTGACTTCTTTTTGTTGTCCAATTGCTCTGACTAGGACCTCCAGTACTACATTGAATAGGTAGAGAGAGAGTGGGCAGCCTTGTCTAGTCCCTGATCTTAGTGGGATTGCTTCAAGTTTCTATCCATTTAGTTTGATGTTTGCTATTGGTTTGCTGTATATTGCGTTTACTATGTTTAGGTATGGGCCTTAAAATCCTGATCTTTCCAAGACGTTTCCCATGAAGGGATGTTGAATTTTGTCAAATACTTTCTCAGCATCTAGTGAGATGATCATGTGGTTTTTTTCTTTGAGTTTGTTTATATAGTGGATTACATTGATGGATTTCTGAATATTGAATCATCCCTGCATTCCTGGGATAAAACCTACTTGATCATAATGGATGATTGTTTTGATGTGTTCTTGGATTCAGTTTGCTAGAATTTTATTGAGTATTTTAGCATTGATATCCATAAGGAAGATTGGTCTGAAGTTCTCTTTCTTTGTTGGATCTTTGTCAGGTTTGGGTATGAGTGTGATTGTAGCTTCATAGAACGAATTGGGTACTGTTCCTTCTGTTTCTATTTTGTCGAATAGTTTGAAGAGAATTCGTATTAGGTCTTCCTTGATGGTCTGATAGAATCCTGCACTAAAACCATCTGGTCCTGGGCTTCTTTTGGTGGGGAGATTTTAATGACTGCTGCTATTTCATTAGGGGTTATGGGAATGTTTAGATGGTTTATTTGCTCCTGATTTAATTTTGGTACCTGGTATCTGTCTAGGAAATTGTCCATTTCATCCAGATTTTCCAGTTTTGTTGAGTATAGACCTTTGTAGGAGGATCTGATGATTTTTTTAAAAAGCAATCTACAGATTCAATGCAATCTCCATTAAAATCCCAAACCAATTCTTCACAGAGTTAGAAAGGGAAATTCTCAAAATCATTTGGAATAACAAAAAACCCTGGATAGTGAAAACTATTCTCAACAATAAAAGAACTTCTGGAGGAATCAATATCCTTGACCTCAAGCTGCACTACAGACCAATAGTGATAAAAAAAAAACTGCATGGTATTGGTACAGAGAAAGGCAGGAAATTCAATGGAATAGAATTGAAGACCCAGAAATGAACCCACACACCTATGGTCATTGATCTTTGACAAAGGAGCTAAAACCATCCAGTAGAAAAAGGACACTATTTTCAACAAATGGTGCTAGTTCAACTGGAGGTCAGCATGTAGAAGAATGCAAATTGATCCATTCTTATCTTCTTGTACAAAGCTCAAGTCCAAGTGGATAAAGGACCTCCACATAAAACCAGATACACTGAAACTAATAGAAGAGAAGGTGGGGAAGATCCTTGAATATTTGGGCACAGGGGAAAAGTTCCTGAACAAAACACCAATGGCTTATGCTTTAAGATCAAGTGTTGACAAATGGGACTTCATAAAATTGCAAAGTTACTGTAAGGCAAAGGTCACTGTCAATAGGATAAAACGACAACCAACAAATTGGGAAAAGATCTTTACCAATCCTTCATCTGATAGAGGGCTAATATCCAATATATACAAAGAACTCAAGAAATGAGACTCCAGACAACCAAATAACCCTTTTTAAAAATGGGGTATAGATCTTAACAAAGAATTCTCAAGTAGGGAAACCTGAATGGCCAAAAATCACCTAAGGAAATGTTCAGCATCCTTAGTCATCAGGGAAATGCAAATCAAAACAACCCTGAGATTCCACCTCACATCAGTCAGAATAGCTAAGATAAAAAACCTAGGTAATAGTAGATGTTGTCAAGGATGTGGAGAAAGAGGAACACTCCTCTATTGCTGGTGGGATTGCAAGATGGTGCAATCACTATGGAAATCAGTCTGGCTGTTCCTCAAAAAATTGGAGATAGTATTACCTGAGGACCCAGCTATATCACACCTGGGCATATGCCCAGAAAATGCTCTAACATATAACAAGGACATGTGCTCCACTATGTTCATAGCAGCCTTATTTATAATAGCCAGAAGCTGTAAAGAACCCAGATGTCCTTCAACAGAGGAATGGATACAAAAAATGTGGTACATTTACACAATAGAGTATTACTCAGTGATTAAAAACAATGAATTTAAGAAATTCTTAGGTAAATCAATGGAACTAGAAAATATCCTCCTGAGTGAGGTAACCCAAACACAAAAGAACACACATGGTATTCACTCACTGATTATTGGATATTAGCCCAGAAGTTTGAAATACCCAAGATTCAACTCACAGACTACATGAAGCTCATGAGGAAGGAAGACCAAGTGGGAGTGATTCGGTCCTTCTTAGAAGGAGCAGCAAAATACTCAAGGGAGCAAATATGGAGACAAATTGTGGGACAGAAACTGAAGGAGAGGCCATCTGGAGACTATTCCACCTGGGTATCCATCCCATGGGCAGCTACCTAAGTTAGATGCTGATGTGGATGTCAGGAAGTACATGCTGACAAGAGCTTGATATAGCTGTCTCCTTAGAGGTCTGCATGAGTCTGACATATACAGAGGTAGATGTTCACAGCTAACCATTGAACTGATCAAGGAGTTCACAATGGAAGAGCTAGAGTGAAGACTGAAGGAGCTGAAAGGGTTTGTGGCCTCATGAGAAAAGCAACTATACCAACCAACCAGAGCTCCCAGGGTCTAAACCACCAGCCTGGGAGCACTTAGGGAGGGATCCATGGCTTCAGCTGTATATGTAAGAGTGGAGGGCCCTGCTGGGCATAGGTGGGAGAGGAGATCCTTGGTCCCACGAAGGCTGGAAGCTGTGTGTGGGGGAATTTGAGGGTGGGGAAGTGGGAGTGGGGGGGTAGGTAGGGGCA